TTTTTCGTAACGAAAAGGAAAGCCGTGGCTCTGCCTCTGGCCAAGCCGGCCGGCTGGCCGGCTGGCCGGCTGACTGGCTGGCTGGCTGGCTGGCTGGCTGTGGACGACCGGCGGAAGAACGCTTGGCAAAATCTGACTAGTTTTGCGTAGGCCTCCCCGAGCTCTTCGGGTACCTGGTAACGGTGCCTCGACCTACTTCCGTTCTCCAGTACATACGTGTCGATATAGTTTAACCGGGCATCACAGTCGAACAAGTGCGCCCCGCGTTTCCTCCGGCTAGTTCCGGGATCGCGCGGATGGCTCCGCCATCGCGCTCGCTCGGGGATTGAATTTCGCATTTGCAGAGACGGGCGGCGTCAGAGGGGAAGAGAGGAGGCTCTTTAAAGCGCGCGCGCGCGCGCGCGAACGGAACGTTGAATTACGCGCGAGTAGCCGGCCGATTGAAAGCAAGCATCGAATTAAATTCAGCGGACACGCGTGTGCACGAAGGGGTCTCCAACAGAGAGAGAGAGAGAGAGGGGGGGGGGAGAACGAGGGCATCAAGTGGAATCGTGGCGCTCGTGGATGGTGAGGCGTTAATCGCAACAAGTCCGAGGGCGCGTGCGGGAATCGCGAGGAAAATCGCACGCATGGTCGCTCGCGCAGAAGTGGGTCGCCGCGGAAACCGCGGCTCGCACGCGCCATTTTTCACAACGAAAAGGAAAGCCATTCGGGCAAAATCTAGTCGATTTGCGTAGGCTTCGGCCGTGCAGCCGGCTGTAACGGTGCTCCGGCCTACTTCGGCCGCCCCACCGCGTGCGGTCCGAAGCGTGAATGCGGTATGGTTTCGGCGTGTAGTCACGGCACGGATATTCGCGAACGATGCGGCGATGCGGCGGCGGCGGCGGCAGCGACGGCGGCGGAGAACGAATGGACGACGACGGGCTCCGCTGGCCGCGCGTGCCCCGCCGCGCGCCTCCAAAACAACTCCCGGGGAGCACCACCTCTGTCTCGAGGGAGACTTTATTTACCAAACGTTCTCGCTTCGGGTTTCAATTTCCCGAAAATGGCCCTCGGGTTTGTGTTCGTCGTGTACGCAAACCCGCGATCGATTCGCCCGTCCCGTTACCACTCGTCAGGGTGCGTATTGGGATTTCGTGTTTTGCGAGGCTACATTCAGTCCACACAGCGCGAGATTTAGCGCAAATTTGGTTACGAACACTTCGGCTTTTGTCGGCCGAGAATCGGCCTCCGCTTCACAGCGCGTGTGTGTGATTAAGGTTTCTCGGATGATCATACACTCGCGAGTGTCAGATTCCGCTAAGCGCGGGTAGTCCCCTCGCTGAAGAATCTATGCAACGGCTATTCTATTTATTTGTCACATTATTTACCCGCCGGAAGATACTTTTGTTTGCATCACATGCTGTGAGCGGCGGGTGTGTGTGGGTGTGTGTATGTGTGTGTGTGTGTGTGTGTGTGTGTGTGTACGGACACACGCAGAGTTTGCGTGTGTACACGAGTGTTTAGCAGCGCTAAGAGACCCGATGGAGGTCGGTTAGGTGCTAAAGTGGCAAGCGCTATATGATCCGTCGCTTGTTCCTTTTTTTTTTCTTTCGTCTCCTTTGGACACCCCAGGAGTCTCCTAAAGTTTCTGCGCTCTTCGACACAGAGAATTATCATTTTCACGCTGAGAACGAATCCCGCGACAATAGGCGGCGGTAAATAGAACAATGGCGTCGATGAGGAGAGACGGAAGTATCGGGCGGCGCTCGGTGCTCGGCCTAATGACGCTTCTTAAAGCTGCGAAACCCAAGAGAGAGAGAGAGAGAGAGAGAGAGAGAGAGAGAGAGAGAGAAAAAACACATGTTTGGGGCCCATTAATACGGGCCCGTCGTAAACACCGGATGACTGCGAGCAAATCGCTACGGCCGAATTCGTCGCGGCGCACGGATACCCGGTGATCCCATTGATAAGTGGCTCACCGCGACATTGTCGTAGAGCTGAAAAAGCGGGGCCCGAGGCCCGATCGATCATCGCGCGCTGGCCCCCGCGCGTTCGCGCCCGCGCCATTGGATAACGGTACCCGGCGAACGCGTCACGGCTTGACAGGGCTTCCCCTTCCGCGCGAGCGACCGCCGCCCCACCGCCACCGCCATCCCTTGAGTCCCAGGGGGCCCGGGCGCCGTTGGTGGGAGGGAAAGCAGCTCCGCGGCGTTTACCATCGACCGTCATCCGACAAGGACGGAGTTTAACCGACGACAAGGACGGACTCGCCGTGACGCGAGTCAGTCTGGCAGGGCGCGAAGAGCGACTCTGAGCAACGCGAGAGGAGGAGGAGGAGGAGGAGGAGGAGAGGGGGAGGGGGGGACAGGCAGTAGGAGAAGGAGGAGGGAGGGCAAGGAGGGACAAGAGGAGGAAGAGGTGGATGATGACGACGACGATGACGACGACGACGACGACGACGACGACGACGACGACGATGATGAACGCTTACGGGAGCGACAGGTACCACCAAGGCGCACGAAGACGACTGGCGACCGATTTGCATGTTTCTCATGACGCCTGAGTTCCTGCGGATCCGCCACGCGGATACGTCAATCGGAACGGAGAAAGAAAGAAAGAAAGAAAGAAAGACCCAATTCAGGCTGTTGCGAGCGGCAGGATGCCGGCGATGAAGAGCGCTTATGCCGCTGCTTCGGGTTGAGGTTGAGCCTGCCCGGAGTGAATAGCAGTGGCCGATGAGTGAGCGCGCGGGCCTCAGCGGCATGCCGATTCGGAAGTGCGTCATGCGACGGACCCGGAAGAGTCGAGCCGGTTATTTATTGCTCCACTTGCAGCGCTCTCGCTAGCGGCTCCACGTCGAGATCTTTCCTCCTCCTCCTCCTCCTCCTCCTCGGGACCTGTCGATGCCGATGCATGATGATCGGCCGCGAGATCCTCGCCGATTCGCCAATTCGCCGCCATTATGCCATGAGATCGAGCAAGGAGGACGCTGTCTGAAAACGTAATCACTCGAAATCGCCGGCGAAATTTAGTCCCGTGTACTCTCGTTGAGCTGAAATCTTCCCTTCCCGCTCCATCCCCCGTCGGACCGGCGCGCGTGTATTGTTCGTCCTTCTCCACCACCACCACCACCACCATCATCATCATCATCACCATCCCCGCCGCCGCCGTCGCCGCCATCGCCGGCGGCGGTCCCTCCGGCGCGTGCGTCCACGCTACAAAAATATATTTTTAAACGCGGCAATTTGGTCGGCCGAGTGTACTCGGCCGTGGCTGGCTAACGTGCCACTAACCTAGTTAGCCGGAGCAAGTCTTTCTTCTCGAGAGAAGTAGGATCTGCCTACTCGACGTCACGCGCCCGTACGCGCGCGTGTATACTCGCGCGGGCTCGCTTATGCGCGGAATATGTATACTAACGACAGCTCTGTCAGATGCGACGTTAGCAAGGAAAATGCAAAGGTTCGCGCAACAGAGGGCGCTGGGGGAGGATGCGTACAAAGGGTAAGGCAGGATAAAATGGGGCGTTGTTGGGGGGCGTGTATAGCGAAAGAAGAAACAAGTAGGTTTCCCCGTAATTAAAATAATATTTCAATTACGCAATTAAATTACGTAATTAAGTTACGTAATTGAAAATATTCGTAAAAACACGTACAGAGTTCATTCGCACAATAACAAGCGAGAGATCGCGATCGCGCAGTCGCGATACAATAAAGTAATATGTAATTCGCGTAACAAGGCACGGAATTCCCGCTTATGATACATCATTTTCGCCTGTCCCGAGTCCGTGTTGCTTTCCGGGCCGACGTCGACATGTGTCTCATAAATTTGCTCATAACGCGCGATCATAATTGAGCCAATCAGACGCGAGCCAATCACGCGCCGCGGGGTGTCGGTGAGAGACCAGGAAAAAGGTGTCTTCGCGCGTTCGCAATCATCCTCGTTTTACATCGCTGTTTCTTCCAACCGGGTTTTCCACGTCAATGATTTTCCCGTCGGGGTTGGCGTGGCGAACAGACGCAACTCGAACTCGCGATAAGTTGGGAGGCTCACGACGCGGACGGCCGTCGCGAGAAAGAAAGGGGGATGCTCGCGAAGGTAAGAAGTTGAAGTATTTAGCCGAGGAATAGGAGAAAGCAGCACGAAATTGTACGCGTGCGCGTGTATAGGAGCGTGTGTAGCTATGCGCGCACGCACGCACGCACGCACGCACGCACACACACACACACACACGTGCGTGCGCGCGTGCGTGTACGTGTACGATACATCCGTGAGGCAGCGCGTATGTGTGTGTACATAAACGAACACGTATAAGCATACATGCTCGGCGGATCATACCAGTCGGACAACCTACCTGCCTATCTACCGTACGAACATCGACCACGGGTGTGCTGCGAAGCCGTACGACATGGCTCGTTTGCCTCACGGATTTTACAGTTTTGCTCTTGTTCGTTTATTTCTTTCTTTTTTCTCTTTAATGGCACGAGAAGGTGGATCCGTCTCGACGCGCGAGGAGACGCGCCGGCATTCCCTCCGCCACTCCTCCGAGGATTTCTTCCTCGGCTTACCACACCTCGTGAGCTTGTATGTTCTTAGTGCGTTTGGCATTAGTGTGTGTGTGTGTGTGTGTGTGTGTGTGTGTGTGTGTGTGTCTCTCTTACTCTTGAGACAATATAACGCTCGCTTGGACGCTTCTTTCATCGCCGGGTACCGGGCGATACCCGGGGCTCTGTTCTTATCAGCTGAACTAGCTCCTTGCAACCTGCTGCGACTCGCGCCTTTAACGCGAAACGAGCATGCAACGTAACGTTCGAAAGAGAAGAAACAATCTCGCGATCCAGGGCGCAGCGCTTAGTTGAGCTGGAAAGGACAGTCGTCCGTCGCTTCGCATGTGTGTTTTCGTCCGCTCGCTACGCGATTTATTTACAAATACAGGAAAGGAGTAGAGAGAGAGAGAGAGAGAGAGAGAGAGAGAGAGAGAGAGAGAGACGCTCGTCATCTACACCGTCTCTACCTAACGCCGATGTTTGTTGCGTGTTTCAGATTTGCCCGTTAACCCCTGGTCGATAAGTCAGTCGCAAAGTGAAACCGCCGCGACAGGTCCGATACAAAGTGCGAGTCGACCACAAGATCATCATTTCGGTGGTCCGATAAGAAAGAATAGCGCGTTCGGTTATCAGGCCGATTTCCGCAACCGTAGCCAACCGTATGCGCGGTCGAGTTCGCACGGCTCACCTGCTTGCAATCTTCCATACGCGGCGTGTCAAGCCGGGACTCCGGCGAACAACCTAAGAGACCTACGTCAGAGTCTCTACGCCGCGACCAATAGTCCAGGTGGAGTCTTCGGCCAGTCCGTTTCCCACGGCCCACAGCACTTTCCTGCGCGGGGAGGACAGCCAAGTTTATCCTCCCAGCCAGCCTCGTGCTCTCTCACTGCCGGCCCGGCGCAAAACCCGGCGCAAATAAGTCTCGTCCAGACTGCGCCGCACATCTCCAACTACATCACTAATATCAGTCTAAGTGCGCCAGTCAGCAACGCGAGTCAGTCGGGTCCCAGCGCCAACACCTGCGCTGCGACTACATCGGCCGGCAGGTGCATTCCTCAGCGAGTCCACCGCCAGAATCAGCAACGGGCTCAGCCGTATCCGCAGGCCGTTTTGCAGGGCGCTCAACGAAGCCCCCGACAAGCAACCGCTCAACGGGGCCCTCAAGATTCGATAAGGAGTCGCCTGAATGCTGCGACGCGACTCGTGAGCCAACAGTTCGGGCCGAACAGCTTGGTGCCCGTTAACGACGCGTTTTGGGAATTCATCGGCAATCCCAATTCCTCGAATCCTTCGTGGAGTTCGCCGTCGACGTTGCAACAAGCCTCGCCGCGACGACACACGTCTGCGGAGATTCTGAACTCGCTGGAAAATCATCTCGAGGCTGCGGTGAAGAACGTGTGCGGAAGAAACACCGCCAGCCAAAATCAGGCCTTTCCCGAGCGATCGTCTCGCAATCGGGAGGCGACGGTCGGTGCGAGTTCTGCGCTGGGTGTCGCTGACAACAACTGCTTTAAGACTCCTCAAGCTGTTGTCCGGCCGCACACACAGCCACGCTTGTCTCCCGTGGAAGGCGCGATCTCTGCGGATGCGCCGAGGGCTTCGCTGAAAAGTCGAATCCGGCCTGCGCTGCACAACATCCTGAACAGAAATCCGCCGTTCAACACCGCCGGTGCCAACACCGCCAGCTGTCGATACGCAGCTCAGCCTGCTCAGAGTACCATTCAGTCGCGATCGGCCCCCGGACAAGGTGCGACCACCACTGCGAGTGCTCTGACTTGCTCGAGCTCGAGAGATCGAGTCCAGGCAGCGGCGAGGAACGTCGTGTACAGGCCCGTGAGCGTAAATGCGCCGCTGGCCCGCGGCCGGCAGTGTCGCTACAGCAACAACGCCGCTCTCCACAAGAGCACCGCGACGAGAAGCAGCGGTAGCAGCGGTTACCACGCTGTTGGCCAGCAGGTAGTAGCCCCCTGTGGTGGTGTTCGGCGGTCGCAGCAGCGGGCAACTTTGCCCCTCGCGCAGGGCGGCTCGTTCGCTGCCGATGCTGTGAACGCGTCGGGAAGTTGCCAAGTCCAGACCAGTGCGGCGACGGGCAACAATAGCGGCGACAACGTAAATGTGCCGGCCAGCCAGGTACATCCGAAGAACCGGAGTCTCGGCACAGAAGTCTCGAAGGCAGAAGTCCCACCGACCCCCACGGCAGCCAGCAATAGCGACGACTCCGGCGTTCACAACAGCTACACGTCCTCGCCGGAACAGTACAGTCTCGACGAGTTGTCGGACGTCCTGAAAGATTTGAAAGAGATCATCGACTCACCGGTGGGTATCAATGACGGTATAACGGACGACCTCTGGCATCGCATCGAACGTTAACGACTACGGAAATTTGTTTGTGCCAGGTGGAGGACAACCTGGCCGTGAACAACAACCTGGCACTAACCACGGGGAACAACGACGCGCAGTTGTTGCAGCAGTACTCGAGGAACATCGCCAGCTACGTGCCGCGGAGCGCAGCGCGAGTGACGCAACAGCAGGGCAGCAGGGCCCAGCCGGCCGCTGAAGGCAGCGGCGTGGCGATCGAGACGGAACAGTTCTTCGACGCGCGCTCCGTAGCGGAGCGACGGTCGTCAGCCGCGGCGGTGCAGCCTACGTCGTTGCCCGTCGCGCAGTCGGCGGTAGCGAGCTTCAACGCCACCCTTCAGCCGAGCGCCGTGGGATTCAACGTGTCAACGTCGTCGCGCGTCCCGACAAACTGCATCGGGGGGGGGCCGAGCGGGGGCCCCAGCTACGGCAACGTCGCCGGTGACGGTAACGACGAGCTCTCCCGGCAAATCCTGCTCAAGCTCAACCCCTCGGCGAGCTTGCCTGGCCGCACGAGTCAGGAACAACAGCAATTCAGCCAGCAGGCGTCGCCAGTGTTGGAGAACATCGAGGTGAACTACAGCCTCGGTGACGATATCCTGGGCGCCGGCGCGGCGAGCGAGCAATTGAGCAACACGTCGCCGTACAACATCATCGCCGGGAACAGCGGCGAGCCGCACGTCGGCCCGACGTCGGACATCGCGTCCGACATGAAGTACGAGACGCAATCGGGCCCACCGACCGCGCAGCCGCACATGACCACCTCGGGGGTCGAGCCTCCGCACAGCAGCCAGGGCTCCGGCATGATGGTGGATCGTTCGCCGGCGGACGCCGAGGGCGTCACCGTGATGTTGTCCTCGTGGAACGGCGTGGCTTCCGACTATCTGGATCAGTCGGACATCAAGCAGACGGGCCCAGGCCTGTCGGACACGTGGGACTCGATCCTGATGGACCAGTCGCTCGACGTGCCGCAGTCGATAGCGGCGGACAGGAGGCCGTTGCCGTCCTTCATCGGGTACACCAGTCACCTGAGCATCAACGGCATCCCGGGCCACCATTACCACACGATAGCCTCGTCCGCTCAGAGATCGGCGATCCCCTCCGGCTCGCCCACGCAGTCGACCAACCAAGAGTATTACGCTGGGGTCGCCTCCGACACGCAGGAGTATCAGGAGTCGTCCGTGGTGTCTTCTAGCACTCCGTGCCAGCAGGGCAGTCAAAAGCAACAGCAGCAACAGCAGCAGCAGCAGCAGCAGCAATCGCACGCCAACAATCAACACCACCTGAACCAGCACCAACACCACCATCACAACCACCACCACCACCAGCAGCAGCAGCAGCAGCAACAGCAGCAGCAGCAGCAGTTGCCGCAGTCAACGCAGCCGCTCGAGTACGTCGACATCGAGGCGGACATTGCGCAGCTGATCGGCCATGCGATCGCGGCGGACACGACGGTGTCGAGCGGCGGCAGCAACGGTAATGGCGGCAACAACGGTAACGCCGCCAACGCCGGCAACGGCAGCAACGGCGGCAGCTCCAGCCTGGTGCAGGATCAGGACACCGCCTCGAGGGACGCGTCGTCTTGGAACGAGATCGTCGATTGGTTCGACACCGCTTGCTCCACCAACAAACCCCAGGAGCCGAACCCGTACACGGTCTACCACGGGGCGAACGCACCCGCGCAGGCGCAGCAGCAGCAGCAGCAGCAGCAGCACAGCTCCGCTCTTCAGAACCTGCTCTCTTACTCACCTCTGCTGCAAGCGAGATTGCAAGCGGGCAACACGGAGGCTCCTTCGTCGACCAGCGCCTATCCACCAGTCAGCCCGCCGGGGAGGGTCTCGACGTCGGGCAGCCCGGACCAGAACCTGCACTCGTCGTCTTACGTGGCCCCGTCGCACTCCCGGAAAAGGTCGCGAGGTAACCAGGGCTCGCAGAATCCTGCGAAGAAGGCCGCGATATCTTACGGTAATGACGCCAGCATGGCAGGAGGGAAAGAAAAGCCGGTACATCGGTGTCAAGTATGTAACCGTGGTTTTTTAAATAAGAGCAATATCAAGGTGCACTTACGGACTCATACCGGCGAAAAGCCCTTCAAGTGTGAAGTTTGTGACAAGGCGTTCAGGCAGAAAGCGCACTTGATCAAACACCAGCAAATTCACAAGAGGAGCAGCAGAGATTAGGAGGATTCCTCCGCGCCGCGCCGCGCCGCGGAGGGAGACGTACCCTCCTTGTACAAATTGCTTTGTGTACCTATATTAATTAGTAATTGTAAATATAAATACAGTAAATGTGAATTTACGGCAATTTTAACGTAACTTTTAATAATTTATAGTAACGCGGTAGATTGTCCCCCGCCCCCCCCCCCAACAGACGATCGCTCGCGCAATCGGGACGCGCGGTGTTCGACACGCGGGACACTCAAGTCCAACTAGTTCGCTAATCACATCGTTGTAAAATACTAAGATTAATCTTACGGGTGGTAACTCGACGAGACAAAAAAAGGTTAAAAATAGTAAAGCATCAATTGTCGGGATTTGCGAAGAGGGGACTTTTCGACAGCTGGTCCGCCGCGCAACTCACGCAGGATCTCAGTTTTCCTTTTTTATTTATTTTTTTTTTCTATACTTTGTTAGCGTTGCTTGAACTCGACGTTGCCGACTATTAATTATCGTTACTGCATGTTCCGAAAGTGTTCAGGTGGCTTATGACGAATTTCACGACACCGCGAAAAAAGGAGTTGCAGCATAGATGATGAGTTTTAGGCTCCGCAGGTTACTTCTGATGTGCTGCAACATCCGAGCTCCGTAGATCCGCGTTATCGCAACGCGATAACGCGGTCGTCGTTCATTTTTAGCGGCGGAACCTGATGAAAATCGGCGCGTAATGGAGAGAGATGCATCGATTGTGTTGGCCCAGTTAAAATTAATCCCGATTAGTAGATTCACGTGCCGTCCAAACGTTTTCGCGTTTCCTTGCGGTGACGATGCCAAAATGGCAGGAGGAAAAGAAAAGCCTGACACCATCGGTGTCAAGTACGTAATAGAGGGTTTTTACATAAAAGGGGTCAAGTACGTAATAGAGGGTTTTCACATTAAAATTTTCTCGGGCGAATTTTAATTGCTTTAATAGCGATCTTCTTCCGGATGCAAATATTTATAGAGTCGTTTGGCTCAAGTGAATGATGAACTTGAAGAATCTCAGTAAGGTGGAGGCGATCGTTAAGATACCTCGGATGAGCTCAACATGTGCACCCCACGCGCTCTTCTGATACATGTAGATTCTTAATTTTTCAGAAAATTAAAAACACATGTACGGAAAGTTTGCGAGGAAATTTCTATAAGTGTCTGGCTATCTTGTTTGCTAAAAATAAAACAGTACACATTTATATTAGACCTACTATATAAAATGTGAAATCTACCATATATAGATCTAATGAACGATATATGAGATGTGCAAGAAGAAGCCAATACTTATCCATCAACGTGACATTTTGACGATCACTGTTACTTTCGTCAGAGTTCGTCGTTCACTTTGGCATCTTTCGAAGCTTGTTTTACGTTCCGTGTTTTTCTAAAGTGTTCGACGAGAAGAGAGAAACGAGATGAGAATGAACAAGGACGCAAAAGTGAGTGGGTCAGCATCTTTTAACTTCAAGTTGTCGAGGAATGATTGTGACGATCGAGAACAGCAAGAAGACAAAGAAAGACATGTGGATCACAATGGTACAATGATTTTCGATGTTATTTAATTTCTAGGATTTTATTTATTTAGTTATTTAATTTCTAGGATTATGCCAAATTTCTAGGATTAATTTTTGGAATTTTAAAATTGTGAAAATTTTAAAGCGAGTAAAAAGAGGAGAGAAAATGTTATGTACATATAATGTTAATATGATATAATGTATTCGTGAAGAAATAAATATTGTACGGAAAATAATTACGTTGATAATTTGTCCATAGTCCATTTATATAAAAGATATACTTTTAAAATTATTAAAATTTTGAAGGAGGGAAATTTTGCAAGGAGGGTTAGAGCAAAAGAGAGAACAGGGATACAAAAAGGGGCTTCCGTAATTTTGTATTGGGTTGCAATTTTATTTAAAATTAGAACTATATATCGCGTTGTGCAATTTTATCATAAAATATATGTGAAGATCGTGAAGAATTTTAGAGCAAGTGGATAAGAGAGATAAAATTTTAAAGCTCGTAGGGAGGAGGAAGACTCAGGGGAGAAGGATAAGAAATATCAGTGAAGAAAGGGGAAGAAAGGGGGGGAGGAAGGGATCGATCATAAGTAAGAGAACAATAAGTGATACAAGTAAAAGAGGAGTAGCTCTGCATCTCTCTTTGCGCTGCCGGTTCACGCATACAGTTGTGTGTAATTGAATTCAGGTCTGCAACTTCCACGAGCATCACAATGTAATATTTTAAACCTTACTTGCGGAACATGCATTAATGATTGGCCTATCAAAACGACTGTCCCGACTGTCTTGTTATCCTGGACTCTAAGCGTCGGTCTACGATACTTCGGCGCGCGCGCGCGCGTACATCGAAATGTAGGCCACAATTTAAGAGTGAGTGAAACCCGTAGATGATATCGCGGTATATACGTATATAAATCGACTCATAAATCCGTTTACATGTCAAATTGTTTCCTTGAGATTTTCACACGGGACGAGAGAGGGAACGCGGTGCCCGTCCGCGCCGCGACTTGGCGATTGAATGCATGAGAGAGATATCGCGCAATCATTCATTTCAAAAGTATCGCGCGAACCAGGTGTACGAGTCATTATGTATCTGAAAAAAATGGGTGCGCGGTGTGCATAGATAGAAAATCCGGTAATGGTATATCGAGTGAATTCAGTCTTCTATTCCGAAACGAGGCGCTGCGCGGCGCGCCTCGTTTGGGTGGACGCGCGGATGGACAATTACTTTCGCGCGACCTTCTTCTCTGTTCGTACGTTCACGAAAGAAATTCACGAAATCTCTCAGGATCTGCGGTCGATCGGAGATCGACGGTAGCGGCGGAGAGCGATGAAACTGCGAGTGCGGGAAAATTTGCGAGAAATGCGCTCTGAGAGTGTGTACACGTGTGTAGATAGACGACTTTTACATTTCGACGCCGTCTTTGTTTTCTTGTCCTTGTTTCTTTTTTTTTTCTCTTTTTTTTTCTCTCCTTTGTATAAGCCACTCTATATCCTGGCGATATAGTAGCGTAAGACGTTCTGTACGATATTGCCTCATGATGTATTCGCGATTAGGTAGCAGCGTTTGAGTAAAGTAGAATTAAGCGAATGTCCTCTCTCTCTCTCTCTCTCTGCGTATTTATAGCTTTCACGGAGCCGCGCGATTAACCGGCGAAAGAAAATTGTATTACTGCATTACCTGTCGAACGAGACACGAGCCGTTTGGCCAGCCAGATCAGCTTCGACCGGGTTGATCGTCTCAGTGCAGAAATCTGAAGCGTCCTCACAGCGGTCCTCCAGCCGGTCGATAGACGAGTTCACGACACACGTCACGTGCGTCTCTCTCGTTGTCAGATTGTCGCAGGATCGCCTCTGCAAAGTCTGCGTCCGTCGTCAGCTCGTACTATTTCGGCGGCTGCAGCGTGCGATTTGTATAAAGTCGGAATACATCAATTATTTATATGTAAACACATGTTTAATAAAATGAATTGTTACCGAGTTGCGGTATACTGCATTCGTGTTCGTGTGTGCGTGTGCATGTGTAGGTGTTTCTTCTTATCACGAATCCTTCTCATCCAAGTGGTATGTGACGAATTCTCCCAGAACTCGTCGTCGTCGTCGTCGAGTAATAATTTGTCTCGAATATCGTCGGAATCGCGTGAAAATTTACAAAGTCACCACCTTTGTCCTTTGCTACGCTTTTTCAGACGTGCCTTCGAGTCGGGTCTTCGAACGGAATTTTGTTCGCGTTCCACACAGGCCGGATTTTCCGGCAGAAATGGAATCGCCGTGGAGAAGAACATGCATATGTTGATACAATCGAATTTCAATTGCGACAACCTTTCGTTCCTCAGGAGTCAACTTCGCTTATAACAAGAAAAAGTTTCCGTTAGGAAAGATTTCTATTGTCCCAGAAATGTATTCGACTACCTGAGCCAAACATTAATGTTGTCAAGGGCACAAGTTTCGTTCCTCACACGGATAAACAGAGCGTCTCTCGCCCCCCCTCCCCCCCCCCGTGTACGTAAATGGAAGAGGACAACCGAGCTCAAAATTGTATTATTGACCGCGTTATTCAACTTTTTTAAGCAAATCCTCCGCGATCGCGATGAATTCGCACTTGTCGAGATTTCGTTTCTCTTTATATATACACGATATGATCGTCGAGACGGAAAATTTTAGTTTCTTCAATCGAAAGCAGACGGACGATTCTCTCGGTTTGCAAGATGGAATTTCCTGTCACACAGAGACTTATACAACGGAAAATCTCTAGTCTAGTCACAAAAAAGATTTTTCTGCAAAGTTTTGATGCTGATGAAAGTCACCGCTGACAGCAGCCGATTAATTTTCTCGCGAGATTAAGCGGTTGATGAAGTACCGATCGGCTCCTCGGGGTGTCGTTCACTTTCGGTGACCACCTTACGACTTTACACTTGCAGTCACTCCGAATGACGACGACGACGACGACGACGACGACGAGCAAATTACGGTCGGACTCCGACAAAGGACGGCGTTAAAAAAAGGATCCGGGACAGCTCGCGTGGCAGAATATGTCCCGATGTTTGTACATGGACCGTGGGTTATTGTTGAATATAATGATATAACGGAGTTATGGTCTCGGGGGTTACACGGTGTCGTCTCGCTGTGAGACGAGGAGACACGCGGATTCAGATACAGAGGCCGAGGAAGAGGCGGAGGAGAGAGAGAGAGAGAGAGAGAGAGGGAGGTGGATCTTTTATTTTCGTCCGACAATGAGAAGCTCTCTCGCGAATGGCAAATGCATGCGCGGCCACCGTACCGTCTAACTGTACCGTTGATTAATCCAACAACTAACATATATGAGTCATATCAACTAACATCAACTAACATATATGAGGATATCAACGCCGGCGATTAAAATCCAATGGTAAAGGGAAACGCTGCGGAAGAGCCGCGAGGTGGATAACTGGGGGGAGTATAACGAGATTACAATAAGAGACACAAACAGGATCCAAGAGGAGCTGAAGCATCATCAATCGCCAGAGGTCGATCTGGGTTGACCAAGGACGCGCGACTTGGAGAAACAAAAGAATAAACGGATGGACGCGTGAAGCGCGACAAAGATGAAGAAGTAAAACAATGCAGGAAGAAGAACGTGCTGTCGAGTCTCAAGAGGATTTACAACTTCGTCGCTGCGTCGACCAATTCTATCGCACTGAGAGAAAAGTGTATATGATATTTGGAACTGTATAATGATATACAGTAACTAAATTATAGCCCGAAATATCATATTTATAGTAAGTATTACCATAATATCGATGATAATTACGATTACAAGGCATAGTATAACCAACCATATAATATCTTTTACTAAGAATTATTAGTAAGTTAAACTGAAATTATTGTATGGATACAAATATAAAATGGTAGGTAAAGTAACTCTTTTATACAGTCAATATTACCTGAATACCTGCTAGATGATGACAGATGTAACTATATGAATATTAAATCTCACTGTATTTGCGAATGAGAAATTACCGTATATGTGGTAAAAGTAACCAAACAATTATTATTTAGGACAATCACTGACTATATATATTTGTGTTTATTCTACCATATCTTGCAGGTTCCGCGGACTATAAAAGTATGGTTGACGCCAAAATGAGCTATAAAATATAGTGGGATTATAGTTAATTCAACGATATTTTTCCATCAGTGCGATTCCTTCATCAGTGTCTTTCCTTTGGACGTCACTTCTTCACGTGCTGTACCGTGATCACTATCGATCGGGGACCGGAGAGGCAGGGAGGGGGAAGGAGAGTGACAAAGGTGGGATAACAGCAGGATGACGGAACCGATGTCGCTGGCTCGGACGGTTAGAGGCTAAACCGTCACGGAGGAGGCGAGAGATCCACGGGGCACCGCGGTTCTCATGACGGTTCACCGGTATCCAGTTGGACCAGTGACCTAAATTTTTCGGGCTCGTTCGCCCAGCCAGGGCTTCTTACTCACGATCCTCGCGTCTTCTCTACTTCCTTGCCCTCCTCTCGTCCGCTCGTCCTCGCGCGAATACCGCGCGGACGCGTAAAGGGCTTCGCCGTAGTCGCGACGGATTGAGTCACCTTGCGGCCTAACCACGTCGAATCGTTCACCCGGAAAGAGGGGGAGGAAGGAAGAGTGAATTTCGCGATTTGTCGCGATTTGTCGCGATTTGTCCGACGAAAACGACGTCGAGGTGCGCTCGAGGGTCAGGAGCGCCATTACGCGCGCGCGCGCGCGCGCGTTCAATTAACGTCCTCCATTAATCGCGATGATTGCGTGCTTTACTCGTGAAACGAATAATTTCCTCGCACGCGCTGGCGGCCATCTGTTAGTTTAGTAGCCCAGATATACTCGAGACGCGTGCACGATACGTGTACGAGCGACTGAACGTCGGTCGTGGAACTCGCAGCGAGACAATCTCGCCAATTTCGGCGCGGCGATCTGGCCAGAAACTCTGGATGTTTCCTTTCTCTCTCCTTCTCGCACGCTCGGTTCCCGCAAATTTCCTCCCAGGGGTGGTTCCCAACCCCCGAGACACAGCTGCGAAAGGATACACGTATCTCTCGTCGCTCCACAACTTATCCAGAGTCCAGTCCAGTCTCGGTGAGGGCCACTTCCATGTTTCTTGTTAGACGAGAATCCCCCCCTCTGCAGTCCCCTGCCCCCCTCCCCTTTCTCCGTATCTCGCGCGCGTCTTCACGTACGTGTCCTTATATTTTCATAATGAGCTAATGAGACGCTTCGCTCGACTCGGTCGGTCGCGATGTCCTCCCCTTCGCGGTGACCTTCCTCCCCCTTTCGCTAATAAGACTATAACCGGTACAAAAGATTTCTGTCGCGTCCTTTCTTCGGCCGCACGAAACTCCGCGGGCCCGTTATGCCCGTAATACTTTTCTCGGATCCTCGCGCGCGAGAGAAAGAGAGAGAGAGAGAGAGAGGAGAGTCGTCATCTCGCATCCTCCGCGGTGCGACGTGCCCACGGCTTTTCGGCGGTTCAAGAGGACGGGGTGTCGCCGAGGAGCACGGCTTTATCCTGCGCGGCAGGTATCGGCGGGAGGATATCGCAAAGACGCAACCGGATGCAACGTGCAGGATCGACTTCAATTATGGTCGTCAAAGGAGACAATGGACAATTTTTTCTCCCTCTCTCTCTCTCTCTCTCTCTCTCTCTCTCTCTCTCTCTATCTCTTTCGCCGGTGAAGAAGGCGCGCAGTCAGCAGGCGGCAGGCAGCAGACGGTGCAGTTCTCACTGTGGAGCCCCCTTAAAGAAAGTCTTTCACCGTGTACGCGAAGGAGGAGTGCCGGAGTCGTTGGTCTCTCCAGCGGAGGAGGTGGCGCGGCGGCGGGCGGTGGAGGCAGAGACGACGGCGGTGAGGCTCGAGGGAGGAGGAGGAGGAGGAGGAGGAGGGAGAAGGGCAAAGAGGAACGACGAAGGAGGAGGACCATGTTATACTACTTTGGTATACTTCGTCGTCGTCGGTACCAGGCAGCGATGTTCCACTTACACGGCACACTTTGCAACTCGCTTCGCTTCAGGATCCTGAAGAGTGGGTCTATCCTACGGTTCCGATCGCGTCGTTAGCCGCGCGCATACTCGCGCGCGTATACATCGCCTCCCTCCCCCCCTCCCCGCCCCGCCCCGCCGCCCACCGCCGCGTGTATAACCGGCTACCACGACACGAAATTCGTGCGATAAAACTGCGCCGCGGCGACGTGCGTCCGCCGGAGTGCTTCCTTTTAGGACGTCGTCGTCGTCGTCGTCGTCGTCGTCGTCGTCGTCGGCGAGCCGCCTCGCTCAGTCTCTCACACGGCCGACCCGGACGGCTCCGACGTCCGAGTCGGAATACATTAATCGGAGGCATCCGGATGCCATATGCTACGAGATGATTTTTACGGTTGAACCAGGTCAATATGTGTCAAGGTTGGCGACGCCGTAAAAAGGCTATATCGGGGCCGTGTCGCTTCTTTTTTCCTTCCTCCTGCGACGTATTTTTTTCGCCGTCTCTCTCTCTCTCTCTCTCACGTGACGAGTCGTCGATTCGTCGTCACAGCGGCAGCGGGGCGGTCAGACACGTAACACGAGCCGTCGTCACACGTCGAGAGCGACGTGGACGATCGATTCGCGGCTCTCGAGATCGCGCGAATATTCTGTGCTGTAATAATCACCTGTTTTCCTGCAAATCAAGCGCGGAGAGCGGGGTGTGGGCTCCCTCCCCCTCCCCTCACCCCCCCCGCCCCCGCCCCACTCTTTTTCCCTGTCGGTATCTGATTGCGGTATCAGTTCGAGCAAATAAGTAGATGCTTCCGTTTGATCTAGGACACGAGATCCCGGGATGGGACGAGCAGGCGTACGATTAAGTACGCTTCAGCCGTGAAGATTAAGATAGAGGC